AACAATTATTGGATGAGGTTTTTGTGATATCCAGAATAATCAAGGTCGAGGTAGGGGTTATCAGCCGAAGTAGAAGCTGAGGGTGATAACCCTTACTGAGACCTTGATTATTCTGGATATCACAAAAACCAAATCAAATAAATATTGTTGTATTACACATCCAATGAAAAAAAAAAATGGAAGTCATGTTTTTGCTGCTTCACTGACAGCAAGCAACAAAAAGTGTACAAACTTGACATGATTACAGGGTTGTCATTAAGTTTTGAGTCACCCATTGCCTTGGTCCTCATGCTTGTAACAGACTTGTTACTTTGTGGATGAATTGTACTAAGAACAGGAAAGTTCACCCCTGACATCAAGGGCTCATCAAAAATACTCGACCGTAACAGGTGTTACGGGTTACGGCCCTCAATGACAGCCCTGGATTACCTTTAGAAATCATGCACCGTGGTCATACATGATGTGATTACCCATGACCTTGAGTGTCCTTAACATGATTGTTGTATAATCTGCAGCTAGATGACGTCACAGGCACTGATTTCGAAAATTCACTGTACGCTTTCGGCCAATCAGAAATAATAAATAATAAGAAATAATAACCTATAATCATCAGTAAATAAACTCCCGGTATTGAGTGGAGTTCATGACTCAAACGGGAATCAGGCTAGTGATTAACAAAATCAGTCAACCACGTTGCAGAAGTCTGAATTGGATAGCATGAAATGAAGTTACACTTAGTGAACTTTCAGTGCAGTTAATTGGTTTGCCTTTAAGCTCAAAAGATTCTTAGGAAAGGTCTCTTGACATTACACAAAAAACGAAAATAAACATTCGGGCCTAAGATTGATTTATAAAATGCTCCCACAGAGATTACTGTGACAGTCTACACCTGGCTATAACCGCACAAGGGGCTCACGCATTAAATTAAACATTAGAAGTTAGTCAGGTTTATAAAATAAAGGGCTGAGTAAGCCCTATAAGTATAAGACTCAAGTAATTACGGGCTTGGCTCTCAGTTCGGTGCGTTGAATTGAAATGATTTCGTCGCACCGAAGATCACCACGAAGAACGAACAAACTTCAATATTTGACAATTTAAATAGCTTTTTCAACCTTTAAGTATTACTTTTTCGCAGCTGTTACACATCACATCAGTTTTTTCCTTACTTCTTCTGGTCTCACCTTTTTCGTCGTGGCAGACGCCATTTTGAATGTCCATGGCCGGTCGAGGTCAGCGAGTGTACGCGAACGGGTCATGCCTTCATGATCAAGCAAGATACCTTAGTGACCTTTACACAAAGTATTTAACAAACTATTTTACAAAGTATTTAACAAAGTATTTAGGCGCACGGGCACGGGGGCTGTGACTTCCTTGCCCGAAAAAAATTCGCAAAGCCCAAATACGTGAGTGTTCAGTGAAATCGGGAAGCAGAAGCGCTCAAATTGCACGAAAAGGAAAACTGTTCACAGCTCTCACATCGAATGAAACTACTATAATTCCTTAACAAAAATTGTTGTATTGAAATTCGAAGGCCTACTCAATGGCCTCTATACTTCTATGAACAATCTCTATCTAGCAAAATCTAAAACTTATTAAAAGAAAAAGTTCTTCCTGACATGGCTCCCGACATGGCGTTCGTTCAGCGATCGGCAGATCAGCAACAGAGACATTTGTGTTTCAAGATGGACCGTTTGGACGTGATACAGAAGCCAGGGACTNGCCCTCAAGGGCCACGGGTCAATAGCCCATTCGGCTTCATCTCATGGGCTATTGACCCATAGCCCTTGCAGGCTACGGGTCTAATTGTTAAATAACCATCAATATATAAACTCCCGGTACTGAGTGGAGTTCATGACTCAAACGGGAATCATGCTAGTGATTAACAAAATCAGTCAACCACGTTGCAGAAGTCTGAATTGGATAGCATGAAATGATGGCTGCAGGCCTGCTCGAGCATGAAATGAAGTTACACGTAATGAACTTTCAGTACAGTTAATTGGTTTGCCTTTAAGCTCAAAAGATTCTTAGGAAAGGTCTCTTGACACTACACAAAAAACGAAAATAAACATTCGGGCCTAAGGCTGATTTATAAAATGCTCCCACAAAGATTACTGTGAGAGTCTACACCTGGCTATAACCGTACAAGGGGCTCACACATCAAATTAAACATTAGAAGTTAGTCAGGTTTATAAAATAAAGGGCTGAGTAAGCCCTATAAGTATAAGACTTAAGTAATATCGGGCTCGGCTGTCATGATCAGTTCGGTGCGTTGAATTGAAATGATTTCGTTGCACCGAAGATCACTGCGAAGAACGAACAAGCTTCAATATTTGACAATTTAAATAGCTTTTTCAGCCTTTAAGTATTACTTTTTCACAACTGTTACACATCACATCAGTTTTTTCCTCACTTCTTCTGATCTCACCTTTTTCGTCGTGGCAGACGCCATTTTGAATGTCCATGGACGGTCGAGGTCAGCGAGTGTACGCGAACGGGTCAAGCCTTCATGATCAAGCAAGATACCTTAGTGACCTTTACACAAAGTATTTAACAACGTATTTAGGCGCATGGGTACAGGGGCTGTGACTTCCTTACCCGAAAAAAATTCGCAAAGTCCAAATGCGTGAGTGTTCAGTGAAATCGGGACGCAAAATCGCTCAAATTGCATGAAAAGCAAAACTGTTCACAGCTCTCACATCAAATGAAACTACTATGATTCCACAAAAGATAGTTGTATTGAAGGCCTTCTCAAAGACCTCTATCAACAGTCTCAATCTAGCAAAATCTAAAACTTATTACACGAAAAAGTTCTTCCTGACATGGCTCCCGACATGGCGTTCGTTCAGCGATCGGCAGATCAGCAACAGAGACATTTGTGTTTCAAGATCGACCGTTTGGACGTGATACAGAAGCCAGGGACTCTATTCGACACCAGCTTCTCTAAGAACATTGTTACACGTCCTTCGAAATAGTTTTCTTTTGGCCACAGGAGACTCGCAGCGTACACTGCAAGCCTTCTATGAATT